GATTTCCTCCACTGATGTTTTATGTCATAAAAACTCAGTCTGGTCTGACATTGTTTCGGGAAAAGATCTGGACCGGGCTCTTGTTTCCAGGGCAACGGTTCGTCCGCGGCGTCAAAGACACGAGCGTCGGGGGCGTCTGAACTCAGATGCAAAGGCTCCAAATAGAAACGTCAAGGAGTTTTTTGACGCTTTGGTGTGAACGACCCTTTACAGTTAATACTAAGATTCTGTACGAGGCTCCGCCCACGAGCCTACGTCACAATTCTCCATAAATACACAAAAACGTGAGACAGAACCGTTCACAGCGACGGTTCCGGTGAAAAACCCGCAGAAGAAAACCCCCCCGTCTTTAAAACGAGCTTTGGTTTTGTTAAAGCCGCATCATGTCACTTTCTCGTTCCACGGTTCAGTCGGTTCCAGATCCGTGGAAAGAGTTAAAAAGTGAAGTTTAGTGTTTTTTTTCTCGTGTAACGGTGAAGTTCTGGCACAGCCTCTTTAAACCTCCAGAGTTTTTCAGGAAATATTTTGTGAAAACTTAAAAAACGGGATGCGACGAGAGGCCATGTGACCCACTTACCTCAGACTTATGTTAAACCGTGAAATACAGTAAAACCTGCGCCGACACACGCTCGAACACACGCTCGAACACGCTCTAACACGCTCCAACACGCTCCAACACGCTCCAACACGCTCCAACACCAAACACACGCTCCAACACGCTCCAACACGCTCCAACACGCTCCAAACACAACACGCTCGAACACACGCTCCAACACGCTCCAACACGCTCCAACACACGCTCCAACACGCTCCAACACGCTCCAACACACGCTCCAACACACGCTCCACACACGCTCCAAACACACGCTCCCAACACGCTCCAACACGCTCTCCAACACGCTCCAACACGCTCGAACACACGCTCGAACACACGCTACACGCTCCAACACACAACACGCTCCGAAACACACGCTCCAACACGCTCCAACACGCTCCAACACGCTCCAACACACGCTCCAACACGCTCCAACACGCTCCAACACGCTCCAACACGCTCCAAACACACGCTCACACGCTCCAACACACGCTCCAACACACGCTCGAACACACGCTCCAACACACGCTCCAACACGCTCCAACACGCTCGAACACACGCTCGAACACACGCTCGAACACACGCTCGAACACGCTCCAACACGCTCCAACACGCTCCAACACGCTCCAACACGCTCCACACACGCTCCAACACGCTCTCGAACACACGAACACGCTCGAACACGCTCGAACTCGGACACGCTCGAACACGCTCCAACACGCTCGAACACGCTCGAACACGCTCCAACACGCTCCAACACGCTCCAACACACGCTCGAACACACGCTCGAACACACACGCTCCAACACGCTCCAACACGCTCCAACACGCTCCAACACGCTCCAACACACGCTCCAACACGCTCCAACACACGCTCCAACACACGCTCGAACACACGCTCGAACACTCTCCAACACACGCTCCAACACGCTCCAACACGCTCGAACACACGCTCGAACACACGCTCGAACACACGCTCGACACACGCTCGAACACACGCTCCACACGCTCCAACACGCTCCAACACGCTCCAACACGCTCCACACACACGCTCGACACACACGCTCCAACACACTCGAACACACGCTCCAACACACGCTCGAACACACGCTCCAACACGCTCGAACACACGCTCCAACACACGCTCCAACACACGCTCCAACACACGCTCCAACACACGCTCCAACACACGCTCCAACACACGCTCCAACACACGCTCCAACACACGCTCCACACACGCTCGAACACATACACGCTCAACACGCTCTCGAACACACGCTCGAACACAACACGCTTGAACACACGCTCCAACACGCTTGAACACACGCTCCAACACGCTTGAACACACGCTCCAACACGCTCGAACACACGCTCCAACACGCTCGAACACACGCTCGACACACACACGCTCACAAACACGCTCGACACGCTCGAACACACACACAACACGCTCAACACGCTCGAACACGCTCGAACACGCTCGACACACGCTCCAACACAGTCCACATGTTGCCGTCATTGCTCGATTTGACACCGTGTTTCACCCCGAGCGCTCAAACTGTGTCTGAATCTAAATCTTTTTGATTAAACTGAATATAAAATGTTCCTGATAAATGTTCGCTCTGTAAAAAGGTGTCAAATCAGGTCATGACATGAGTGTTGGCGTTGGTGCGTTGGCGTGTTGGCGTTGATGTTGGTGCGTCGGTGTGTCAGCGTTGGTGCATTGGCGTGTTGGCGTTGACGTTGGTGCGTTCAGGCGTGTTGGCGTTGAGTGTGTCGGCGTTGGCGTCAGCGTTGGTGCGTCAGCGTGTTGGCGTTGGTGTGTCGGCGTTGGCGTCAGCGTTGGTGCGTCAGCGTGTTGGCGTTGACGTTGGTGTGTCGGCGTGTTGGCGTTGGTGCGTCGGCG